TTGTTTTTTCTACGGAACAGGTTAGTAATTTTGGGTGGTAAAGAAAAAAATGATTTCCGTACTCTTAACGAAGAAAATGCTTGGGAATTCATGAAAATACTATGCCCAACTAAAAATGTATGGAGACAAGTAAGAATTCAAGGAATGCCAAAACTCGAATGTTTGGCACTCCAAGTGGCTGTAAAAAATGATAAAAATATCATTTTAATTATCGGCAAAAACCTAAATGGCGAACTAATTATAGGACATATAAGAGATTAAATTATTTATAAAAAAAAAAAATAGAAAACATTGTTTTTTATTTTTATAGAATTATTTCTAGAATTATTTATAGAATCATATAAGCTTTAAGTTTTAAAAAAGATTTTTTTCATCATTCTTCATAAAAAAATTATATGTAATAGTAATAGCGATTTTTTAATTAGATCGGATTAGACTGAAATTATTTATTTATGATATAGAATTTTTTTAACGTTAAATAAAACATTATGAGGCAATATATCGATCGATGATGAGTGTTCCATTTCTTTTCTATATTTTATGACGTAAAAACCTCCGTAATTTATGAAACAATGATCGTCATTTCGTCATCTTCCTTCATATTGTTGCATTACTATTACGGGCAAATTTGAATTATATAGAACCCTCATTTGACATAATTTTCCATGAAAAAGAAACTTGCACTATTTTGGTCAGTAATTGTCGAATATAATCGTCAAAAATCTATTTTTACATTAATAATAGTTATAAATAAATAATTATATTTCTTCCTTTAGAAATTTCGTCATAAGACATTTTTGTCAGTTGAAAAAGATCGTCAGGCATAATTTAGGGTAGACTATTATGAAAGCAATTGGGTTAGAATTTTAATTACCACATGGACCCATTTTTATTTCTTCGAAACGTGTAAGTGACGTGAAGATGACATGTTACACGATCATATTAATATAAGATGGAGTAAGATCTGGAAAATTTGCTGAAAATCCGTCCAAATTTGATAATAGTTTTCCTGTATTATTTTTTATGCTGTAACCATTTACGCAATCAACGTGACAAAACAGTCGGGGCAGTATTAAAAATTTTTGTTTTTATTGTGTCGATGAAGATGTAGTAATGAGTTGTTTTGAAAATCTTGGGTTGACACAGTAAACTTGTTCAACTTTGAAGTTAATTCCTCCATAACATCATAAATGAAATCATAGAAAGATCCTTTTTGGAGAAAATCAATATGGCAAATTAATATAGACGGTTTAAAACGGAGGTAGCAAGTGACAAGGTCCATCCATCTATAGTCAAATTTATTTATTGGTAATATTCCATGTATATATTTAATTCTTATTAATATTTTAACTATAAGTTCATAAATAGTAAAATAGAAATGCAGAGCCTGCGCTAAAAACCTAGATACATTTAACAACTACTAAAAGTGATAACTAAGAGAAAATTTTGCAGAAATCATTTAAGAATTGTGAATACTTTAAAGCAATATTATCTTCTGATGCTTTGAGTGCCGCTCTTTGTAAAATAGAATAGGGAGAAGAAGATGACGATGCTCTATAATTGATTTTTAATTTAAAATTAGTTATTCAAATTATTTATTTTATAAACAGTCGGTCGATCATGATCTATAGCAAGTTCATCTAAATCTGCTAGCAGTAAGTTTTAGAAGTTAAAATTTTCAAATGAGCAGCACTTGCATCCAATATCGAATCAGACCCAAAGAGGATACCATTCAATTTATATGCCAATGGCGATGCGATCGTTCAAAGTTAGAACAAAGGTTTTCCGTGAATTATCTGTTGAACCACATAAACAATGTTGGAATTTTAGCATTGAGAGCAACGATTCATGTGGTTGGCCATTTAACACTGGCCAAAAAAATTTAGCTAGGCTCAGCTATTGATTAAGGGTGACATTTGACAAGAAATCAGCAAGCAAATGACCATACAAAAATTAATATGGCACTTAGCATGTCAGATGTTGTATGATAGTCACATATTCTGCAAGTGGATTTGTTTCAGCAAAGTTTTTAATTTTCATTAACATTAAGAATAAATACAAAAATATTACTTTTTTTATGCTTTGCACATCATGCGAATTTAATAATTGGAGAACTTTTTAAAGAATCTTTAGTGTTGCAGAATAATATATTAAGACTATTTCATTTTTAACAAGTCTTATTTCATGATAAACAGAAGGTTCTTTATAATAAATACATTCCTTTGCAACGTTCTGGTGGTACATGTTAGAACAATTATCACAAATGCTTCACTATTCTTTATCAATAGCAAAAAGGCCTTGCAGGTAATTGTGTAATTTCATAATTTATAAATAAGTGTTATTATTTTTTTGTATTTATTCTAAAATTGAATTTTTACTATATATATATATATATATATATATATATAATTATGTTAAATAATTAATTCTGAATCTTTTTGGACAGCTATAAAAGAACATCGTAATCTTATGTAATGCAGTAGACTTTTGAAGTTTTGGATTTAAAGTTGTTTGGTGTAGAATTTCCCTGATGCATCAAAAATACGTCAGTTTATTCTCTTTACCTAATCGGTTGAAATTTTGGTTAAAGAAGGGATCATCGTTAGTCATTATCTCTGAACGACTAATAAATTATGAGATTATAAAAAATCATATTATTATTTTCTGGATTGGATTATTTAGTGGCTATAAAGGTGTATATTTTATGAAGCTTTACAAGATCAAGTACTCGGAGAAAATGTTAGATAGGCTGGAAAGACGTTGAGGCATTTGAGAACAGCTCATTCTTTCGCTTTCGTTTTGATTAAATACAAAATAAGCAGAAAACTTCAGTGCAAATATTCTACCAAGATTAGCTATTTTATTGTCTTGGATCTTAATTTAATGAGGAGTCTGTTTCAAAATCAAAAAAAAATACCCTCATACTGATGATATTTCAAAGCAATTTGATAGTTGCTACTATATGCTGGAGCCCTTATCTAAAGATGAAAGTAAACTTGCCAAATTAGTATGTAAAATTTTTGGAATGTATATCAATCCTGTAAGATTATTCCCAAAACGAATTAATAAATTTTCTTATTCGTAACAGACTAATAGACTTCAGTTAAAAAAAAAAATCTAAAAATCAGATTTTTTATTTTGTAGGAAAGATTTTGTAAATTAGCCAGATTCATAGAAACATGAATAATTAAAAAATCTCAACCTGAAATCTTAGATAACTTTATGATTGAATTAAATACTACAAATGAATCCGTTTTGAATTCTAAAGATGATGCAATGAAAGTAAATTTTTAATAAAATATTTTAAAAATTAAAATTACGACTCGTTTATAATTATCCAAAAGCATGATAAACGGATAGATGCACATCCAGCAAAAAATACAAAGGCAAAATGAAACTAATAGATCAGTTTCCTGACACCAGATTTTATTTAATTTTTGTTATTTGAAAAAGTTTATATGCAAATATTGAACCTGTTATATACCAATCACCATACAGCCAACTTTTATAATAATCAGTTGACAACTATAAATTGATTGATTGATTGATTGATTGATTAACTAATTAATTATCTTCCTTGTAGCAAAGTGAAAAATAATTACTTGTGAGAAAGAAAAGTGTTTTTTTGATTTCTAAAGAGGTTTATTTAAACATTTTCTTTAAAAAAAAAAAATAATAATAACAAAATTAACAATAAAATCAAAAAATTTACAAAAGAAAATAAAAGAAAATAAAAAACTTATGTGTGTATGTATATGTATATGTGTAAATTCTATATTATATATAATTAACAACCAGTTATTATATTTATATATATATATATATATATATAAAAGTAATAAAACAGATTGACAACAACTAACCAAATCATCCATTCAAACAATTGTATTTATTAATATTCTGATCATATGTACTAGCAATAGTTGTTGTTACTCTTGGTTGATTGACTTAATTGACATCTGTAAGAAGTTGTTTTTCTAAAATATATTTACCTTCCTTATAACGTTGAGTTTGTTCGTATGCTCTTTCCTGAAGGAAAAGAAGGAAAAGAAAAGTATTTTTTTCAATTAATTCATCATTCATAATTCATCATCATACGAATGTCTCAATAAAAATAAAATAAATTGATTCGTACATATTTCCAACCTAATACTACTTTACAACGAGAGCAAAAAATATCTTTAACTGTATGAAGTCCAGTGGTCATTTGACGATCCTCAGAAGGCCCTTCCTCCACATTAACCCTGTATTGTTGTTGTTAAAGAATTAAACATATTAAACATATAACAATCAATCAAATATATATAAACATATATATATGCATATATTACTTACACTGAGTCAAAGAGATAAGCTCTTCCATGTTGACCTTGAAAGGCCTAAAATTTACAAATTTAAAAAAGTTAATATTGTGATTTGGGTATAAATAATAATCTTATTATTGTTAACCTTTGAAATGATACTATCACTCGTAGAAAGATGAGTTCTACACTTATGACATCCGAAAATGCGAGTACCACTTAAATAAACAAAGTACATTAAGCCCATATTTCAAATAATTTATGTGTTTAAAATTATAAATTGTAATAATTCAAAAGTTCAGGGAAAAAAATCAAGTTTTCAAAATTTTCCTTTGTTGTTTTATTTATTTATTTATTTATTTATTTATTTATTTATTATTTATTTAACTAATAATGGAGTAATAGAAAGGGGGAAGATTGTAAAAAAGAAAAAGCTGCAAGTTTAAAAAATGAATACATACATATGTAATCATCATCAATAATATGATAATAAAGAAGTCACAAATTCATAGTAATAGTAATAGTTCAGTCTCTCGTGATATTTGTGATACGTGCGAGATTTCAAGATAAACAAAATTTCCTAATTTTAAAACAATGATATAACTTTAAACAAATCTTTTGTAGAGTTTCGCTATTATCAAGTGAAATAATAGGTTCTAAAGGCGGCTGGTGTAAAGGGCGATCTACTAACTAGAAACCCAAGAATTATTGCATTCCTATGAAACAATTTTTTAATTCATGGTACGTGCGTAGCAAAAAATTTCTTTTGCAATCTTCTTCAGTTTCTGTGGTGATTACAGTCAACATCAGTTTCGATCCACACTGAATATATAACAAATGCCTAGAAGCGATTAATATTTGATAGCAAAAAAAATATTTATGTGATAATGTATCGATAAAGAATCTGAAATTTTCCGTTCAACAGGGTTGATATTAAATGGATTCTGGAATACTCTTATG